CCCTTTTGTAAAGTGTTTTCTGTTACTTAAGGTTAAAATGAATTTATTGTATAAAATGATTATAATCTAATCGTTTCTTTTCTTAAGGCCTTTATTCTCGTTATTCAAAAACTAAAAGAATATACTTAATATTTGAGATTAAGCTTGGTATAAGGATCGTTTTTTTAATTATTTTATTGTTAGTTCATGATTTTAAGTGATTCCAAATATCCTTAGATTGTTATTAAGCAGAGGAAAATTTACGCTTAGCCTTTATTTTCGTTAAACTCGTGAATTTCATTGTATTATGCATCGAAACGAATTTTTTAAGAATTAAAACTATTGCTTACCTGTAGTAATATATAATAGATTATTGATTCATACTGACGCCATGAGAGGAAACTGACTTAATCCATATATTTGATAATTGTGATTTATAGCCAGAACTAAGTATTTAATAACCTATTTTATAATCGTTTTTGATGCTGCAATTGGGTCCTGATACTCCTCCAGCTAATGTATTATATATAAGATCAACTTTTTGTTTCCCACCATTACTAATTTTCCTGCTTATATATGTTATCTATTCATTAATAATAATTTATCTAATTCTCAACCATAATACGTTGAAAATACTGATTTTACTTTAGGTTCGATATCTTGTTTTCTACTTAGGAATCTATAAAATATTCTTTTTATTGGTCCACCATGCTATTTTTCCTTTGCAATACTTCATGTAGCTCATTCTTAAATGAATATAAGCTGAGATATTTAAGTCTTTAATCTAATATTACAGGAACTTAATCTATACCATAAACCGATGTCACCGCAACCAGACTCTCATACTTGCTGAAGTTGGGCCTGTTGAGTTGGAAATAGTGCCTAAATCTGTACGGCTTACATCAGCCCATCTAAGACCGGGAAGGTTTATGGACAATGGTCTTCGCGGTATTGTTACTCTCATCAATCACCTAAACTCTGATGCTCCATTCACCTGGGAACCTCTCTTCAACTCCGTCACAGGCAGTACAGCATTTAGTATTCGACCTAGTTCTGGTAAGCTTAAATTAAGCAAAGGAAGAAGCCTACATTCTGATCATACTTTTTTTTAAATGATCGTGTAGGTGCATGAATATGAAAATACTCATATTTTATACCAGCGTGTAAAAGTATTAAACAAATCTTAGCACTCTTCCGCAGACTCTTGGAATATTCCGTGAAGTCATACCATGACCTTATTCATGATGTACTCGTTTCATGTGATCATATCAGCCTAGTTTCGTAGAAAGTAACAAAGGATGAGCTGCTGATGTCCCACGTTAGGTTTATATTCATTAAAGCTAATAAGTTGAAAAGGAATATTAAATTCCCGTTCTAAAGTCAAGCCAGTGGATTATAAAGGTTACTTAGTGCTTTCTAAGCATATTGATTAATTTTATTTAATTATTTGCTACCTATTGACATGGGCTTAGACTTTGAATATATAAAACGAATTTGTCTTAAGGATTTTTTAGTTAGAAGTAGAGTTTCTAGAA